GAATATCTATTCTCTTAATAAAACCCTACTTCTTTTATATCTAATTTAAATAATAACTTAAAATACAATAAAACTCTTTTTAATATTAATATATTTTATATAAATATATATTCTTATAGTTGTATATTTATTATTTCTATAAATCATAGTTAATTCTTCAAAATTTTAAATATTGTTGATGTTATTCTAATTAATAAAAAAGGAATTATATAAATAAATTCTAATCTTTATATATATAAATTACTTTTTAAAATATTAAATAATTTATAACTTGATATGTCCCTATATCCCTTAAAAGATTCCCAAAATTAATATTATTTTAACTTAATAAATATTAATAATCATCATTACTACTACTGTTTCTATTATTATACAAATCAGAAACGAAAGACTAGTAAAATCTATAACGAAATCTACAAATTATATATTTTATTATTCATTTTATTATTCATTTTATTATTCATTTTATTATTCATTTTATTATTCATTTTATTATTCATTATCTCATTATAAATTATCTCATATTAATTAATATAAAAATTATCTTTTCAAAAAACCTCAAACCTCTAAATAACTTCAAAATTTCTATATAATAATAGAAATCTCTTTCAAATTTAAAATTTTCAAAACTATATAGTATAAGCGTAAACATAATTCTCAATAATATTAAAAAATAATTTTAAAAAATATTAGTAAGAATATTGTTATTTTTAATTATAAAAAACTAAGAAAAAGCTTGTATTATTATATATTAACTTATCTAATTGAAAGGCTTATAAATAAAGAGACAATATTCCTTTCATATAATCAAATATAAATAACGTTTTAGATTTACTTTTTTAAAAATTTCATTCATTTTTCTTACTTTATAAAATCTATAAAACTATTCATTCTCTATCAATAATAAAGAAATAAAAGATATTTTTTATATAAATATATAATTTTAATGAATCTTATAATTCGAATTATTTTTTAAAAGAAAAGTTTTAGTAGACAATTATCTATAAAAGTTTATTTTTTCTAGGAAATATTTTTAAAGCTTTTAGAATATTAAAGTTATTTGAAAATATAACTTTTTTGTTCATTTAATTTTTCTTTATTAGAAACAAATTCTCTTAATTTATTAGTTAATAGAATTTTCATAGTTTGTTTTAGAAATAAATATAATAACTATTTTTATTATTAATCTTTCAAATTTTATTATAATAATCTAATAATCTTATTATTAAATCAAAAGTTCTTCTAATTTAATTAATTAGGTTTTTCATATCCTATTAAATAATTAATCTTTTAATATTTTTATTATAATATAAACAAAACTTGATTTTTTTTCTAAGAGTTTTATAATATAAAGAAATATTGAGTAAATATTATATTTTATAAGTTGGGTATCCTATTTTCTAACTACCCCTATTTTGGGCCACCCTTTTATATTAAAAATTACTTTTTTAATCTATTAATATCTTTATCAATATATAACATAATTCGATGAATTTTTTTTTATATATAATTTAACTTATTTTAAGCTTATTCCAAAAAATTTAGAATTCTAGGATTTTTCTATATTGAAATCTAAATCTTTATAATATTGGATCTTTTAATTTATATAAGAATTATATATAAATTTAGAACTGTTGTAAAATCTTTGATAACTTTTTAATAATAATTTTTAAAAGAAAACTATATATCTTTTGGAAAGTTTTGAACTTAAATATATATAGAAATTCGAAAAAAATTCAAAAAAATTAACAGATATAAAGACAAAATATATAATGAATTTAGAATAATATAAATAATCCCTATCATTTTAAAGATATCCCTTCAAATATTTAGGTATTTATAAGAAATTTTCTATTTTTTTGAATCATTTCAAACAGACGTATTATACATTTATAACAAAATTTATGATTTATTTTTAGCACTTTTTATTATAAAATTATTAGAGATTTTATAAAGATTTCAAATTTGTATATGATTTCTATATATATTTGAAAATCAATGTTTTGAAGCTCTAAATCTCAATCCAGAAAAATCCAAAAAAATCCAAAAATTTCAGAATACATTTCAAATGATCTAAATTATATATATATAAATTTTTAATAAATTCTATTTATAAATAAGAAAGTTCAAAATGCTCTATTCTTTGAGATTTTTGGTAGTAAAGAGTAGCTCAAAACAGAGGTGGTTAGAAAGTAGAATACTCGACTTATTATTATATTCAAATAGATTCCTTTAAAACCTTGTAAAAATATATTAAGATCTTTGAAACTCATATCATTCATATTATATTAATTTGAATAATAATTTTTATATACATAGAAAGTTCCCATCGTTTTTTCTACTTTTGGTGAATTCTAAAGTTAATAGTAGAGAATATCATCGGAAGCGATCTATGTTAAGTCGTTGAGTTTATGACACTTTTGAGTCTAGTCGAAGTGCTATGAGCTAGATTGATCAATGCCAAAGGATATATATTCGCAGAGGCCTTCATGGAACCACAAGCCGTGATTATTTAGCTAGATTCAGTTTAGTATCATATTTCAACTACTTTGAGCTAAAGCTTCGAAAGGTCCAATCATTTCATAGGAAAGTCCACATCTGCATTAAGGTAATTGACACGATTGAGAGCGAAAGAAGTCTGGAAGTCGAGTTCTCTGAGTATGCTGAGTTTTTATCATTTCATCATTTTTCCACGAAGTATGACAAATCCTAGTGATAAGATCAATGTCCACGGTAAGACGCTATTTGCAGAAAAGCTACCCCTCCAACGCTCCGTCGCTGACTTAAGAAAGCTCAACCGTCTGAAACCAAGTGAGACCAGTCAGACTGCAAGTTACTTTGTTGCTCCTTCTTTGATGTCTAATGTGCACAGCCCAATCTCCATCCTGGCCACCGTATAATATGCAACGAGAGAGAATATCCCCCCAAAGCCAAGCATTATCAAGACTATTCAATTGTCAGCATCCCGGCTCTGGTCGTACCACATCAGAGTTATCTATCAACAGCGATGATGTATTACTTACCGGCAATCATTGACCACAATCACTCCTCACTCTCGACTCCTAGTTCAGCTGCAGATTGATCATCACTTTCTTTCTTGACCCGCTTCGATTGATTCTTCGAGGGCGTTTCCTCCTCCTCATTCTCTTGTCCCTCCTCGATAGAAGCAGCCTTGGACTTGCGTTTCTTGACAGAGGTAGCAGCAGAAGTGGCGCGTGTGGAAGCAGAGGGAGAGCCGATGCGAGATTCTTTTCTGATCTTCTGGAAATGTTGTCTTTTATTGCTTGGTCAGTCTTTGTGCAAGAATTGTTTGAGAGGGGCTGTGGTAGAGATAGAATTGTTGCGATTTAAGGAAGCCAACTATTATGCGGATGGAGATACAGTTGAGAAACACTGGACTTCAATTTTGATTGGAGGAAGACCATTCGAATCGAAACAACGATCAGAATCCTTGATATAAGTCAAGGAACACACATAGACCGTGGACAAGATATGAAACAAACTTCCATACGTACCGGCAAGCCTCCTTGGTAAAAGAGTAGCCTTTTTTCTGGAGACTCTCGGAGATTATGGGCCATTCAATAGCCTTGAGATTGTTTCCTTCGATGATAGCCAACAACAAATCCTTGTCAGCCCTATGATCCCACTGAGAAGGCATGATTGATTGAAGAATGCGAGATTGGAATTTGTTCTTGTTCTTATTGCTGCTGATTGAGTTTGTAGATGGATGAAGTTGTAGGTTTGGGAAGAAGATGGGTGGAGGATAGAAACAAGATTGAGAAGGATTGTGGAGAGATACATCATATGAAAAGTGAATTTCAAAATAAATGACATGATTTCCGCAAGTGAGTGAATTAAGTATATAGAATTGGGTAGATAGATACAGCTGGAGGAGGTAGGTATATGCAAGGCCTTGCGATTGATTTTCTTAAAGAGTTTCTAGAAATTAACTTCCAACTTCAACAATCTGAATCTTCACTTCATCATCTATTCAACTACAGATCATAATCCCGTAGGCTTTGATCATCTTCATACCTACAAGATGCATAGCTCAATCTTCACATTCTTCTGTCTACCTCCAGCTAGGCAGGTAGTATTCATGCAGTCACACGATATTGAGTGAGGCAAAGCAAATGTAGAATGGAAGCAGGACAGGGAACTAATGCAAATAGCCACAAAATCTTCAATCATGATTCACAGATAGAATCATCAAAAGTAAATGAATGCAACCTTATCAAACACTCCAAAGAGTGTTTGTCGCTGTGGCGCGCGTGTCTCGGGTATTGTTTTTATTATCAAACAATCACTTGGCCATCCTTACGACACTCTTACTTGTTCCATTCATTCAAGCTACCTAATAAGCATATGTAAAAAGGAAAAGGAAAGTCACCTCGTCAATTTTTTTGTTTGATAATCCTTCCAAGCCCAGGGGTTGTATTGATATATCTACCGAAAAGGGGCACGAGCGACGGTCGTAATCACTGTGCCACATATTAGCAGATTGAATACCTTTCTGATATCTTCAACTTCCTTTCAGATCATTGATTGACTACACACATCCTTACCAAAAGCAATATCTGTGTGCATTTCAATAGAATATCAAATGTTTTTAAGTTCTCTTTCAATAAAATCAGCTTGGAAAATGCACATTCTACTACTAAACTCCGCGCAAGATTGGTGCATCAAGATGAATATTTCTATATCTTCCCCTCACAAATCCTCACATGATTCTTTGCAAATATTCACAACACCATTCTTGCTGCCCTACAATATTTGTGCTTCTTCGCCTTCAAAAGCAAGACCCCAAAACGCCATTTGCGCCCTGTTGCATCAGCGAGGGAAGCATTCATTCCCTACTATCTACGCTAAAAGGCTTCCTAATCCACTCAGTCTAACTTCATCGCCCCCCCGTCCCCCCTCTTAAATACATCGAAAAAACCCGAAGTGAGGTGTGTTACCCCGCGGTCATCGAGTTAGCTAGCTCAATCGCAAATCAAACAATGACTAATGACGGAGCCATTAATCGCTTGCTATATGCAATACTTAGTCAAAAATGTCTCAAAGATGTATGAAATCCTTATTTAATGAAAAATCTCATTGTGTGAGTGGAATACTGACAATAATTCCACAGATTGATTGGAATAAAGTGGCGCGTGATCCTATTCTTTCCCAAGAAATTACCAACGGTCACGCTGCTCGAATGCGCTACTCTCGATTCAAGAAACAAATGGACAATGCAACATTATCGCCCGTTCATACCAGGAAAATTGCTACTCCTCGACGTTCTAGGATCGAGAAGAAAAAATCCACCAAACGAGAGCCCAAACTCAAAAATCAGGAGAACATTCACGATAGCCCCAACCTTAATCTTCACATGAAATACGAGTCCCAGAACGCTCATACACCCCTCTACATGAACACAAGTGACATGGAGACGAACCATAGCAGCTTGTTCCCCGCACTAGAAGTCGCCAAGTGCGAACCCGCCACACCCATCACTCCCCAGTCAAAGATGAAAACCGAGTCCGACTTCTATATCTCTTTCTCCAATCCAGAAGAGTCCGTCCGTCTCGACACCCCTTTCTCAATGAACTCACCCGCGTCTCCAAACAGTCTCAATTTTCCTACCCCCGGTGTTGTTAGTTTCAACAGTTCCATGAGCAGCACGGGAAGTCTCAACAGCCGTATGACTAACGCTTCATTCTTTGGTACGCCTCTTCACGAACAAATTGGATACAAGGAGTCCTTTGGAGCCGCGCATCGAGATGAGCAGGGATACTGTTTAGATCCCTGGGCCCAAAGCGTTAGTGGATATGATACCACCAGCTTCCAGGACAGACACAGGGTACCCAATAGTCCGGACTGCAGTCCAATAGTATGAGGGTTCGAATGTCGAAAAGCAGTTGAACTTTGAAAAAACAACTCATCATTTAGATAAAATTCAACAATTTCAAATGATTTGAATGTGTTACCTTGGTTTGGGGATTTGATGATCTTGATTTTTAGACTGCAGTCCGGACTATTGGTCAAAAGGGAAGAAAACTACGACGATGATTCCTGTGGATTCTTCTTGAAGTAGAGTTTTACTGAAAATTGGGAAGTAGGGAATCCGAATAACTTGTTTAGCTTCACTGTGTAATACTTGCTTGTCGATTTCAAACAATTCTTTCGTTTTAGGGTTTTGATACTTTAAGCAAATGGACCACGTTTCCTCTGACGAATACTCCTGACCGCGGATTAACCCTAGAATTGAAAATAATACATGTTTGACTAATCATGCTGTCCCTGAAGTGCAACATCTCCCTCTTCATAGGTTTGTCAATAACGAAACAAATTTAACAATACTACAAAGTTCTCAAACGATACATCCTATGTCTGTATCATCCAATATTGCAGAGATGAATCCAAGTCATCTTGATTTACTAATCATGCAATATTTCATGTTCTCATTGCTTTCATCATCTTCCACTTCTTCCTTCACCTTGACATATGGTCCATCCAGTTCTTCAAAACTGCAGCTGGGCTTGTAACTTCTTCGATTTTTGAGACTGGCCGGAAAACAATGGCTGGCCGTCTCTGTGTCGATCTTGACGAAACCTCTGGGACCAAACTCATTCCGGCGGCCAGTTTCAGGTAGCCGAGAATCAAATGTTTGTAGAAAATTTGGGCTCGCCGCACATCCATTGAATCTCATTTTCGCAAGACTTTCTCTGCGGGTTGGTTTTGCCGCTCTTAAGGGGGCACAATAACCGCTGCCAGCCTGAGATGTCGGTGCCATTGCAGCCTTGATTCCATCAAGCGAATGCTTTGTTGGTATACGGCCGATCAACTTAGAATTCTGTTCCAATTTTAATACAGAATGGCTCTTCACGTACTCTAAATTAGTGAAGCATGACTGCGAACTGCCGCTTCCTGATTGTTTAGCATTTTTGACGCCAGACCTAGGATGTGATTGTCCTCTTTTATTTCGTGTAACGAGGCTCTTCACCCATCGATAATCTTCACCCTCAACTTTAACTTCTGGGGCACCCGCTGACTTTTGTATGGGATGCCCGCTGCTCTTTCCAATGAAAGAAAAAAAATGCTTTGGATGGAAAGAGGCATTCAAGTTCCCAGACCTGGTCCCCCCATAAGATTGTATGTAATGTGCCGACATGCAGATATACTCCTCGTGACCAAATTGCTTAGATATACGTTCCCATGAGTAACCGAGATGACGCGCCCTACCGAGTCTCCTTCTGTCTGACTCAGTCCACATTATACGACGAGATTCATTTTCGTCTTCGTCGATTCCGCTCCTCTCTAAGAAATTCTTATATGCCGCAGAAGCAGTCCTCGCATTGGTACCAAAGGCCTGGCCGATTCTTCCCCATGTCCACAAGAGACTCGATTTGCGCATCTTAAGCATGTGATGCATCATTTCTTCAACTCGAGATAGAGTCTGATGACGATGACCAGAAAGCTTTTCGGCCCTTCGAAATAGTGACGCTGAACTATGGGGATCGGCCCAGAATTTCTTCTCGTATCTGGCGAGAAACTGAGCCCATGATTCTGATACTTCTTCATTTCGCCATTCTCTGAAATTGCAAAGGTACGCATCCTCCTGAGAAGAAAACTTTTGTCTCCTGCCACGCGAAGTTGGCATTCTGGATATGATGGAGCCCCAGCAACGAGTAATATAGAGATTATCTTATCAGTAAAATCGTCGCTCCGAGGGATGTATTTCTTCCGCTAAGGTCTAATCATTAAGATGAGAAATTTCTAAAAGCCAACCGGTCTGTTAGCCACGAACATTGATGTATCTTCGGTTTGTCAAGAAGGCTCATGCTCATAAGGCGCTCACCAATACTTTTAGGTCAGCACCAACAGCAAACTTATAATAACAACGTATGTCTTCCAAAAACTTGAGTGTTGCTAGTCTTCCACGAAAAAGTATTTGAAGGGTATTTTATGGTAGATGCGTATCGATAACAGTGCTATTGATGGTTTCCAACAAAAGAAGAAGTTCACACAAGTCTGTCAAAGTAGAATTATGTTGCATCGAATTAATGAAGCATTATGTGTCCCAAGAAGGATAAGGAACAAGAAGTTTTTGCACATGAACACATTGATATTCTTGGAGAAGGAGCGCAGACAAATTCGGAATAACCGGCTCGAAGTGTATCCTCAAATCTGGCAGGAAGAGGGGGTTCGATAGATACTTGCACAACTTCAATCATGCCTACCATATTGGGAAATGAAATCATGAAATTTGGAAGGTCGCTGTGGATGCAATAACCTCGAGGTTTTTTGTGTCCGCTATGAAAGCTCTTCTATGTTCCAGTCCGGAGCGCGGAGGAAAATGCGACTGGATGCTAGGCAATGCACTGTTTGACATAGTATGAAAGGTCTCTGAATAACTTTGGTGGACTTTGGTCACTTAAACAATTTCCAGTGCCTGTTGACTACAATACAGGTTGCTTCACAGAGTTCCATACCTACTGGTATCATCAGAATGCAGATTTTCTTTAACGCAAAGATCTAAATAGCATAAGATGTCCTCCTTCCCATGCAGCATTATGTGCCAAGCCTCCGAACGCCAGAGAGGTTACCCGCCTTTAAACGCCACCATCATCATGATATATTCGCTTCTATCCCACTACTTATTGGCATCTTTTCCATCCAGCCTCCGACCTATACTGTCGCCCTTGGCTTGAGGCTCTGGAGCTGGCTCGCTTTTGGCCTCCACCTTCTTGCCGGTCTTCAGTGATTGTCCTTGCCCCGAGAAATGGGGTTGCTTTGCATCTGCATTCTCTCTATCCTTATCAGCTTGGGTTTTGACTGGTTTGACTTCGTAACCGAAGAAAAGTTTGTTGGGTGGTAATCGAAGAGGTTGAGGACCATTCGTTCTTCGAGCTGATACGGCAGGAGTGTTCGTGCTAACTCCAGCAACAGGAGTTGACGCAGTAGGTGTGGGGGTCTTTGTGCCCTTCTTGGCGCTCAGTTTGTGACCACCAGATACAAAGTTGGATGAGGCCGCTTTTGCGCCTTGTGCGACAGAATTAGATGTTGGTGCAATGGCATCGTAGTTGATAGCCTGTGCCATAGTTCCTTGACTATGAAGCATGCCACCTGCAGGTAAACCGCCGATGGCACTTCTAGGTGTGCTGGTTCCGCTACCATTACCCCTGACTGGAGTTGGCTCGACATAGCCTAACGGAGCTGCGAAATCGACCTCAACATCTGTTTCGAGCATACTAACCCCCATTTTGTCAGTAACTGGTTTGACCTCCAACACCGCAATATCGTAGATAGTATCGTTATAGTGGAAGCTAAAGATATCGCCTTTAGTGACCGTAGAGAAGTCACGAAACGCCTTTTCGAGCACGGCCTTTGGGTTCGAGATGTCGAGAAAATTGACGGATTGAGGTTGAAGTTTGATAAGAGAGGCAGGGGGAAGATCGGTCGATTTGATCTGGAAGAGATCTCCAGTTTCAAGTCCAAGGGTTTGCATCATCTGAGTTAGGTGGTTAGATTAAAAACATACTTCTCGATGAGACAGAAAGGGCGCGTACCCAGTGTGGAAGATAAACCTTTCCTTCATCTGCAATAAACTCCAGTACACCGGCATGTGTTAATTTTGGTCCATCGGGATGTCGACTGTTGATAAGCTCGAAAAGCATAGGGTACGTAATGTGTAATCGAGTAAGCTTCTCCAAAGCAGATGGTGGCATAATAATCTTTCCTCCATAATTAAGGTTGTCTCGTTCAGGACCGGGTATCATGACAGTTGGATAACATCGGTAGTATTCATCGAAACGTTTGGGAGGCCCTCGCATCCCGCGCTGCTGCAACATTTGATACATGGCAGCTGGGTCATCTCCTTCATAAAAACCCGAGTAGGACTATTGATTTCATCAGCATGCGAAGGGACATATTGCCTGCGGATCATTTCACATACCATTTTCTTGAATAAGTAAGATCCGTATCTTATGGTATGATGGGTAAAATCTGTATCGTAAAAAATCGAAAGCCTTGAAAAAGTTGGATGAGAGGTAAAGTTCAGATATTCTTGTAAGATTTATTTGCAATTAAATTGTTTGTATGGCTTTTGTAAGTAGATGTAGTTCTCGGAGTTTGTTGGTGTAGTATGAAAGTTTATAGTAAGTGAATAAGCTGAAGCTCAAAGGCTGTCAAGAGATGACGCAGGAACCAGCTCTCTCTCTCGGTTGCTTTTTAATGGCGGGGGACTCTTAACTCCGAAACCTTAAAGCTTCAAATGTTTCCCGAACCTTGTAAAGAAAGACAGCATTTACTTTATATTATTCATATTGCAAAGTCTCGAAGCTTCTCAATTCAAAGGGATAGCGAATAAGAAATACAATATGTCTTCCAGATACGCAGCTGCGCGACCGAAACGTGCTGGCGAAGAATTTGCCCGTTCGCATCGGAATGAAAATGAGGATGGCCCTTCAAAGAAACCAAAATTCGATCTAAGAAACCCATCTGCTTTGGTAGCTGACGAACCCGAGGAAGATGCAGTTCTGGATGCAGATGTTATCGGAAGTCGAGGAACTGGTACCAAAAGAGGAGCGGTTAATATCGACGGTTACGATTCTGATTCTGATAATGAGGGTTTCGACGCGCGTGCAGACGAAAGAGCCAAAGGAAAGAAGGGCGAGGTAAACCTGGCGGAAGCCCTAGATGGATATAGCAAGGAGAAACCTGGTGCGACAAATGGGAAGACGGATATGGAGGAAGATGCGGACATGTTTGCAGACTTGGAGGATGAATTTGCGGACGGCGATGAGGACGAGAGTGAACTGAAGGCTCGCAAAAAAGGGAAAGAAGTACGATTCTTGAAGGAAGATGAAATTGAAGGTCAGGTTTTGGGTAGCAAGA